CCCCCCCCCCCCCCCCCCCCCCCCATTGGTCCCATATTTTGGGTCCTTAAAGAATTTTTCTTATTTTCCTTCAAACCTGTTCTCCAACTTTCTTTCCAACCAAACATTATTTCCTTTTTCTTTTTTCCTCTTTTTTCCTCTTTACTTTTCTTTCACATTCTACCTAACCAAACACAGCCTAAATGGAAAAGGAAGACAATATACAAAAAAAGAAAGGCCTTTCAACTGACATTTATGAAGCTATACTCTAAATGTATAACCAATTTGATTAATAATATATTTCAGTAACGACAATGACCTAGCCTTAAAAACCAAGATGTTGTAACAATTCATATCATTCGTAATTATAATACCTCCTTGGCAACTGTAACTCCGTCATTGACTATCTTTGGTGATCCATACTTGCTCTCCAATACAACATTTCTGCCCTTGGGGCCAAGAGTAACTCCAACCAGGTCTGCAAGCTTGTTTACTCCTGTCTGAAAGCATAGGAAAAAGATGTTACATACACTAATGACAGTACATCTAGGCAAAACTATACAAGTTGCTTAATGGAGAAAATAAGAAAAAACATACCTGAAGCTTCTTAATGGTTGACCCATCCTTGTTAAAATACAACTCCTTGGCCATTGCATTGATCTTAGAGTTGCATCTTCTCTGTACATGCAACTTCTGCCTTCCACCACCCAGAGACCTTGAGGATATAGATGCAAAAGATGAGAGCTGTTGGGAAGAAACTGAGAGATTCTTATCTTTGGCAAAGCTGCAGGGAGCAGCCAAAGGGCCAACCAAAGACATAGTACTGAAAGCAGCCATGACCTGCATAGGTAAATACAAGATAGAAGAGCTTAACTATTGGAAAGAAATAGAGCCGTGTCAATAAGATTATCAAAAGAGCCTTAAATATATTTTTTTGAGGGGATATGCATTTCAAGATATATAGGTACCAAAACGATAACTTCTTCATGTGCATTCACAAGACATTATCAATGAATTTCACCTATCTCAGTTGAAAATTTCTCTCATGACTCCAATGCATGAGGAATAACAATACCCAAAATACATAGCATATTTGTAACCCTATGCAGCTTTAGTGTGTCATATCTATTAACATTCCAGGATATTAGAAACCATACAGATGCTTCATTTTAAAAAATGGCCTCCACTTCCAGTGATTGGATCAATGATTTTATATCTTTATGAACTTAATCTTAACTGGAAACAGAGAACTTCTTTTCCATTCATTTTGAGTATTCTAGAAAATTCTGAAGATATAGATACTTACTCTCCAAGCTCCAAGCACACCTACACCTCGTTTGTCGTACCGAACACAACCCTATTTTGGAAGCTAGAATGTTCATTCCCACTTCCCCTCAATGAGCATTCCCAATGAGATGATAGGAAATGGGCATTCCAACTAAAGTGAGAATCAAAAAATAAATAAATAAATAAATAAAACTTCCAGATATGTCAATTCCCACTTCATTCTCTAAATTGCAACTAAATGTGAGAACAGAAACGACCATTCCATTCCACATTAATTCCATTTCATTCCCTTCTTCATTCCATTCTCACTAGATATGTCGATTCCCTCTTCATTCTCTAAATTGCAACTAAATGTGAGAATGGAAACGACCATTCCATTCCACATTAATTTCATTCCATTCTCACTTCACTTGATTCCCACGTACCAAACAAGGTGTAAAAGCTTGACATTTAAGAGTTGTTCAAAAGAATGGGTCAGAATATGTAGAATATATGTTGAACATAGACATCATGCTAAGCAGTATTTTTGGGTTTATAGCCCAGGATGTTCCTTGTTTCGATTTGCCAAAGCATCTCATTGCAATTTGATATACTCCGTTACCTGTTAAGTTCTAACTTGCTGACAGTAATCGACAAAAAATATTCACTGGATATATCGAGAAAAATATTCTTTCCCATTATTTGAAACAACTTTTAAATGTCAATGTTTTAATATGCTTAAGCGCTTGGAGAACAGCTGAACAGGTATCTGTGTTGAATACTGACATCAAGTTAAGTAGTATTTTTGGGTTTATAGCCCAGAGATGTTCCTTCTTTCAATGTCCCAGCGCATCTCATTGCAATTTGAAATACTCCTTTATCTATTAATTTTCTAACAAACTTCAGGTAAACCCATATAACAATTTAATTTCATTCCAGACATGCCTAAATAGAAGGGGGAAAAGCTTGGTGTCGTAAAATATGGGCAATTAGCACTTTTGGTTGCTCTTATACCATAACAACAGTAGGCTGAAGCTAAAAATGCTACAGATTGTTGCATCCTAATTTCTTAATAAATATTGTATTCAATGCAAACTATGTTTTTTTTTCCTCTAAAGTTCAAAAATTTTCTAAACAATTAGCACAAAAATTAAAAATCTCCAAATCTAATTTCATCTTTATCAAAAGCCTTACAAAATCTCACCAGAAAGACGAAACCCCCCTTACATTAACTTAACCAGCTTATCCTATGGTCTTCATAGGAGCAATCATTTCCAACACCCGAAAATAGCAGTCAATGTCATAATGCTCCTCAAAACCCTTAACCATTTTCAAACAAATACAGTAGAAAATATTAAGCCAAATTGATATAGCAACTGAAAGAAATTGGATATACCCATCTGACCAAAATCCAACCTTTACAATAATTTCCGACAACCTAACAGAATTAACCACAAAGGGACTAATATCAAAAAAACTCTGGTCCTTTTTAGTTTTAAGCTTTGTCCACATTAGTTTTACAAATCTTTAATACTATGAAATCAGTCCCTTAATCGCTGAAATTGTTATTAAGCCATCCAAATTCTTAAGTTATCTTAAAAGTTGCCCCTCAAATCATCAAAATTATTATTAAGTCCCCCAATTTTCATGAGTCTACACATTAATCATGAAAATTAGGGGGACCCAAGAGAAATTTCAATGATTTGAGGGCCTAACTTGAAATAACTTGAGAACTAATTATATTCTCTGCCTCGTTTCTAGTGGACTTATATTATTTTCCGAGCTTTACTACAGGGACCCAAAATATGGGACCAATAAAAGGGACAAGTGAGGTGCCCCCCTCCTATTGGATAATGAGTTGGTCATCATTAATGATGGCCAACTCCCCCCCCCCCCCCCCCATTGGTCCCATATTTTGGGTCCTTAAAGAATTTTTCTTATTTTCCTTCAAACCTGTTCTCCAACTTTCTTTCCAACCAAACATTATTTCCTTTTTCTTTTTTCCTCTTTTTTCCTCTTTACTTTTCTTTCACATTCTACCTAACCAAACACAGCCTAAATGGAAAAGGAAGACAATATACAAAAAAAGAAAGGCCTTTCAACTGACATTTATGAAGCTATACTCTAAATGTATAACCAATTTGATTAATAATATATTTCAGTAACGACAATGACCTAGCCTTAAAAACCAAGATGTTGTAACAATTCATATCATTCGTAATTATAATACCTCCTTGGCAACTGTAACTCCGTCATTGACTATCTTTGGTGATCCATACTTGCTCTCCAATACAACATTTCTGCCCTTGGGGCCAAGAGTAACTCCAACCAGGTCTGCAAGCTTGTTTACTCCTGTCTGAAAGCATAGGAAAAAGATGTTACATACACTAATGACAGTACATCTAGGCAAAACTATACAAGTTGCTTAATGGAGAAAATAAGAAAAAACATACCTGAAGCTTCTTAATGGTTGACCCATCCTTGTTAAAATACAACTCCTTGGCCATTGCATTGATCTTAGAGTTGCATCTTCTCTGTACATGCAACTTCTGCCTTCCACCACCCAGAGACCTTGAGGATATAGATGCAAAAGATGAGAGCTGTTGGGAAGAAACTGAGAGATTCTTATCTTTGGCAAAGCTGCAGGGAGCAGCCAAAGGGCCAACCAAAGACATAGTACTGAAAGCAGCCATGACCTGCATAGGTAAATACAAGATAGAAGAGCTTAACTATTGGAAAGAAATAGAGCCGTGTCAATAAGATTATCAAAAGAGCCTTAAATATATTTTTTTGAGGGGATATGCATTTCAAGATATATAGGTACCAAAACGATAACTTCTTCATGTGCATTCACAAGACATTATCAATGAATTTCACCTATCTCAGTTGAAAATTTCTCTCATGACTCCAATGCATGAGGAATAACAATACCCAAAATACATAGCATATTTGTAACCCTATGCAGCTTTAGTGTGTCATATCTATTAACATTCCAGGATATTAGAAACCATACAGATGCTTCATTTTAAAAAATGGCCTCCACTTCCAGTGATTGGATCAATGATTTTATATCTTTATGAACTTAATCTTAACTGGAAACAGAGAACTTCTTTTCCATTCATTTTGAGTATTCTAGAAAATTCTGAAGATATAGATACTTACTCTCCAAGCTCCAAGCACACCTACACCTCGTTTGTCGTACCGAACACAACCCTATTTTGGAAGCTAGAATGTTCATTCCCACTTCCCCTCAATGAGCATTCCCAATGAGATGATAGGAAATGGGCATTCCAACTAAAGTGAGAATCAAAAAATAAATAAATAAATAAATAAAACTTCCAGATATGTCAATTCCCACTTCATTCTCTAAATTGCAACTAAATGTGAGAACAGAAACGACCATTCCATTCCACATTAATTCCATTTCATTCCCTTCTTCATTCCATTCTCACTAGATATGTCGATTCCCTCTTCATTCTCTAAATTGCAACTAAATGTGAGAATGGAAACGACCATTCCATTCCACATTAATTTCATTCCATTCTCACTTCACTTGATTCCCACGTACCAAACAAGGTGTAAAAGCTTGACATTTAAGAGTTGTTCAAAAGAATGGGTCAGAATATGTAGAATATATGTTGAACATAGACATCATGCTAAGCAGTATTTTTGGGTTTATAGCCCAGGATGTTCCTTGTTTCGATTTGCCAAAGCATCTCATTGCAATTTGATATACTCCGTTACCTGTTAAGTTCTAACTTGCTGACAGTAATCGACAAAAAATATTCACTGGATATATCGAGAAAAATATTCTTTCCCATTATTTGAAACAACTTTTAAATGTCAATGTTTTAATATGCTTAAGCGCTTGGAGAACAGCTGAACAGGTATCTGTGTTGAATACTGACATCAAGTTAAGTAGTATTTTTGGGTTTATAGCCCAGAGATGTTCCTTCTTTCAATGTCCCAGCGCATCTCATTGCAATTTGAAATACTCCTTTATCTATTAATTTTCTAACAAACTTCAGGTAAACCCATATAACAATTTAATTTCATTCCAGACATGCCTAAATAGAAGGGGGAAAAGCTTGGTGTCGTAAAATATGGGCAATTAGCACTTTTGGTTGCTCTTATACCATAACAACAGTAGGCTGAAGCTAAAAATGCTACAGATTGTTGCATCCTAATTTCTTAATAAATATTGTATTCAATGCAAACTATGTTTTTTTTTCCTCTAAAGTTCAAAAATTTTCTAAACAATTAGCACAAAAATTAAAAATCTCCAAATCTAATTTCATCTTTATCAAAAGCCTTACAAAATCTCACCAGAAAGACGAAACCCCCCTTACATTAACTTAACCAGCTTATCCTATGGTCTTCATAGGAGCAATCATTTCCAACACCCGAAAATAGCAGTCAATGTCATAATGCTCCTCAAAACCCTTAACCATTTTCAAACAAATACAGTAGAAAATATTAAGCCAAATTGATATAGCAACTGAAAGAAATTGGATATACCCATCTGACCAAAATCCAACCTTTACAATAATTTCCGACAACCTAACAGAATTAACCACAAATTCAAAATCTAAACTACAATACAAGGAACCCAAAACCCTAAACCCCAAAAACCCACCTGCAAGAGTCAAACTTTAGACGATAAAGAGAAGGGAAAGTCAATATATTCCGTTAAATGCGAAGGAAAAACGATTGAATTAATATACCTGAGGATGGAATTGGAGGATTAGGGTTTTGAGGGGACTTCAGTGGATAAGGCTCTCGCTTTTGAGTTTCTATTGGAGTAGAGTCCGGCGAGTAGAGAGAAATGGAGGCGGATTTGGGGATTTTTATACGAATTTGATGAATTTCGTGGGATGATCTCAGCCGTTGGATCATGAGATGGGGCCGCGCCTCGGGCTCTTGTGGAACAATCCAGAAGATTTGGAGATGCTATTTTCCCGTAATCGGGTCGGATTCCGACCAGGCTATAAGTAGACCTCTTAGACCCGATAGGATACATTTGGAAGAGAATTCGAACGCGATTCACCTTTTTTTTCAACGAAAACAATAATAAATAATAAATCATTGTTGCCTTTGAAACATCTCATTACTAACACAACAAAGTTTTCTAACGGCGTACCATAGGAAATACTCGCTACTAAAATTATAGCTAAATTATGAAGTTGAGCTGAAGGAGGTGTTTGGTTACACAATTTTTTAGAAATGTTTTCTCAAAATGTCTGACAATGACAATTCTGTAATTAAAAATTTTATGTAGATTTTTGTAAACTATATTTGGTTCAAAAAAATTACAGAAATATTTTCTATAAAATACGAAAAAATACTAAAAATTACAGAAATCAATTTCCTCTCAAAATGGGTGGAAATCATCCAGAAATCCGACACCACATTGACACTTTTCTATAAAGTTGGTATTTTTATAAATTTAGAGGATGTTTGGTTCAATTTTTATAAATTATAGAAAATTATGCTATTTTCTGTAAAGTTATGGGTCATTTTCTTGTTTTGAACCAAACAAGCAAAATAAAAAAAACAAGAAAATTTGGTAGGGAATGAGGTTTTTTTAAGGTTATTCTCGAATCAAAAAATATCAAAGACCAAAGTTTATTAAAAAATTCATTTGAGAAAAGGAGCAAAAATCCTTCAGTCATTCATCTTCTTCCTGATTGGAATAGAAATGTTGCGCTTTTGTCATCTCTTTAATTCAATTGGGGGATTAAATTGCAAATCGAGATGAAATCGATACTGAGTAATTTGCAGTGCTTAGCATGCTGCCGTCATGAGAGAGATTTCAGGGACNATTTTTTATTCCTTTGATTATGTTCCACCTTTCCTTTTGTTTTTCAGTTTGACCAATTACCCTTCATTCTCTGGAATTTTAAAAATGAAGTGACAATAGAGGAGGTGAAAGGAAAGCTTATAAAAAGCTATGAGGGGTAAGACGTTGATGAAAAATTTCAGGGGGCAGAAGCAATTTCCCCATTCTTTATTACAAGCTTAGAACTTGAGGGTAAATCTAGAAATATGGGAGATTTGAGGGGTGTATACGCAAAAAGAGAAGTGGTGTTTTTTTTTCCTCAAAACTTATGACCGACGATTGGAAATGACTAATTAGCACGACTTTGTCACTTTTATTACAAAGTATCGTTGACTTTAACTTTAAATGATCTTTTAAGTATAGTTTTAGCAAAACATATTAGCTACTTTTGCTAGCAATTTGAAATATATTATTACCAAATACTATTTTGACAACTTTTATAAGTTGATTTATATTCTGCTAGTATTAGCTGCTTACTAAAAGATTTTCAACAAATACCAAAATGGCCTTTAGACCAGCATTGTCTTGTACGTGACTAATGTGATCATAAGCAGACATAAGGGCAAAGTATATTGATATTATTTATGCTTAATAGCACCTTATTTTTAAGGGGAAATGCTTGTAGCCCCTCAAGCGCTCAATTGAATTCACCCTCCCCCCTCCAGTTTGGTTAACAACCCAAAACTCCCCCAAAACCAAAGTTTTTATCTCTCTAAGGCCCTAAATAGTGTTCCACATGACCGATTTCTAAAAAAACAAAAAATAAACTTTCATGTAAGGGGCTGTTTGGTTGTTTTTTTTTTTGGGTGAAAACCTGCCAAAATCTGACATTTTGCCAGGTTTTCACCTCCTTTCCATCTCAAAATAAAGCAAACAAACAGCCCCTAACCACCCTCACTCCACTCCCTTTATTCGTAAACCGTGCCCTGTCTCATCTCTCACACCCCAAATTCTAAACTATCATCCAAAAGGAGCTGTAACTCAATCCCTTCCAACTCTTTGTTCTTTTCATCTGGCCTTCCTTCATTCATCTCTACAGTGCTTCCTTCCCTTCAAACAATAGCAGACGACTCACAATCGAAGATAATATCACATGTTGAAGACTTTAATGATGACTGCTCACAATACGAAATCGTTTGAAGAAAATTATACATGAAGTCGACTAATGGGGAACGCACAACTATTGGAGAAACAGTTGAAGCAGTTTTTCAAGACATCGCAGAAAATTATCTCACACACCAAAGCCCAGTTGATCGTGTGGAAAGATCGTCAACATCAAGATGACAGCATAGATGATGCAAGCAAAGCTCTGTTAGATTTAAGAAAAGGAACAAAGAGGAAAGTTTTGGCAAGCAAAAAAATTATCACCGAAGAAGCGAGTTTTTAAACATTAACCCTTCGAGCGTGGAGAATGAGTATTAATTGTTAACCTTAATTGTTGTTAAGGTTATGTAATGTTTGTTTATTTTATACTTCAGTTGTTAAGTTTGTATATAGAGTGTTAAGTTTCCTACCCCGTCGTGATAGATGGTTTTTCGTTGTTAGGTACTTGCTTAGTTTTGAACGATATGCGTAATTAGTTGTAAATGTTAATGTTTAGTTTTGAAGGTTACTGATTAGTTGTTAAGGCTGCTAAGATTATTTGCTAGTTGTTAATGTTAATGATTAGTTTTAAGGTTATTTCATTGTCAAGGTTAATAACTAGTTATTAAGGTTATGAATTGGTTTTTAATGCTACAGTTTATATACAAACTAATTATGTATTTTTGTTTCGCTTTTTAGACAAAAGGTTGCATCAAATTTACGCCCTACCTCGAACTTCATTGCATATTACGAGTTTATCATGAGTTAGTTCCTCTAATGGATAAAAGTTATTGGGATGCCTATGAAAAATGTGTGTTCAAATATTATGTCCTCCCCAAGTCTCGATCTACCCACATTTGAGCAATTCTTGAGATAGTGGGACCATACCGAGAAGAAGTTTGTTTTTACATATTTTAATATCGGTGAAGACATAGAGTGCTCATTCAATATTGAATGGGTTATGAATCACATATGGTTCTCCAGTGAGGGGATTTAGTTGGTCCTAACCGAGACAAAAAGAATCAAATTTGGCAATGTTATTTTACCAAGAATGAGGATGACAAGAAAAAGCAATACCTGCACCATACAAATTATATAGTCATGGCTCTTCTCATGAGTCTTGGTCGACGAAGCGTGATGAGGTAAAAGTCTCTGTCCTATTTCAAATCCTTTATTAGTTTAGTATGCTTTGGTGCTCCAATACAATTCTTTGATCAATCAAGGCCAATTCTTTCATGCAATTTTTCTATTTAGATGTTGTGAACTTATAAGTCGCGGATTGTAACAAGTCGCCTAATGTTTGAGGGCTACTTGCTTTATGTCTCAACTCCTTCATCCTTTTTGTAGGACACACATAGAATGTAATGCATTTGGGAAGAATTCTTCGACCATTACTCCAATACATTTGTCTCCGTCAAAAATTATGACTAGTGATATAGGGGATTGTAAAAATATTTTTCCAATCATATAGTATGGACCACACTCCTTGTAAAAATCACTTCTAAATTTTATTGTCCTCCGAGTTACATATACAATAAGGAATAGGAAATATTCCCTAGTTCATGTCATATTTTGTGATACTAAGTAATACACATTTGTAGTGGTCTTTACAAAATGTCTCATCCAATAATAACGGAAGCATACATCCAGCAACGAACCCCTAAATATAAGCATTATAACTTACAAATAAAAGCCTAAACCTGCCATCAACCTCATCAATGGCAATACAACTTCCTAGATTTGTAGTTTTACCCATGGTTTCATACACACATAAATATAACAAGTAATTATTAATATTAACAACTAAGAAATAATCTTAATAAATAAGCGGTAAGGTTGACAAGTAAGTATTAACTTTAACATCTAAATTGTAACATTTACAAGTAAGCTGTATATTTAACAGATTACTAACAAACTTAATAATTAATTATAATCTTAATAGCTAAGCTATGCACTTAACGACTAAGTTGTGACCTTAATAATTTAGTATTAGCATTAACAACTAAGATGTACCCTTGGCAATTTAGGAGCAACCTTAACAACTAAGTTGTATACTCAACAACCGAGGAGTAAACTTAACAACTAATACACATATGACAGCTAAGACATAAGTATTTAATAAGATAAGTGTTACCATCTTAGTAAATCGTAATTTTCCTCATCATCATGAACAACTCTTGTTGTGCTCTCTCTTCACTATGCACCCTTTTGCTAATCTTGATGCTGACCGATGAGAGCAAGTCATTCTTGATATCAATTGGCCGAAGGTCTGTTCTAACTTTCAAATTAGATTATATTTATGTTGTAATGAATCTGCAGGATGCCCTTGAGTTACCTGTATTAGCTCTATGTTGACCGTGAGTGTGAGTAGCGTGAAATTTCTATATAGACATAGCTGAACAATTTCGAATTGGGTAAGCAAACAACATCCAAAGGTATATGTGTGTCCTTATATTGGCAATGCACTCTTATACGTTATTGTTCATTATAATAAAAATCGTACTCAAACTTTTTTGCTATGGAATAGTATTGAAGTACTAGTCTAACTTTAACAGCACTACCAAATTTCTATCCCTCTTCAAATAAATATTTGTTTGGTTATTATTCATGTCATCGATCATCATGATAGTGTCCCCATAAGGATTATCATTAGGAATACGTTCATCATTAAATGCTTGACTGAGCATAGCAACTATGCATTGAGAATTGGCCATCAAAAACATCCTTTAAAGATGAAAAGCTAGTATTAGATTAATATGGTAGACAAAAAAATTTAAACTTAACAATTAACTATAAACATTAACAACTAACTAATATGGTTGGCAACCAACTCAAAATCTTCACAACTAATCTATAAGGTTAACATGTAAGTAAGATATTCACAGGTAATTTATAAAGTGAAGAACCAACTAAAAAC